TCCTCCAGCCAAGTGTTTCTCATGCTGTACTCTGCATAGAAGTTAAATAAGCAGGGTGACGATATACAGCCTTGACGTACTCCTTTTCCTATTTGGAACCAGTCTGTTGTTCCATGTCTGGTTCTAAGTGTTGCTTCTTGACCTGCATACAGGTTTCTCAAGAGGCAGGTATGGTGCTCTGGTATTCCCATCTCTTTGAAGAATTTTCCATGGTTTGTTGTGATCCACACAGTCAAAGGCTTTGGCATAGTTGAGAAAGCAGATGTTTTTCTGGAACTCCTTTGCTTTTTGTATGATCCAGTGGATGTTTGCAATTTGATCTCTGGTTCCTCTGCCTTTTCTAAAACCAGCTTGAACATCTGGAAGTTCACAGTTCACGTACTGTTGAAGCCTGGCTTGGAGAATTTTGAGCATTACTTTGCTAGTGTGTGAGATGAGTGCAATTGTGTGGTAGTTTGAATATTCTTTGGCATTGCCTTTCTTAGGGATTGAAATGAAAACTGACATTTTCCAGTCCTGTGACCCCTGCTGATTATCTGAAAAACTAATAATCTTCAAGTTTTAGAAAGAACTGTTTGGAAAAGGGGGGAGGCTACCATTTTTGGAGCACATATTGTCTTCCAGGAATATAATGGATGCTTTACATTTTACTTATAAGCCCCACGGTGGCGTCCACCTGGCTCAGTGGTAGGGAATCCTCCTGCCAATGTAGGGGACACAGGTTCGATCCCTGTCGGGAAGATCCCTAGAGGAGGAAATGGCAGCCCACTCCAGTCTTCTTGCTTGGCCCATTTCATTGACGGAGGAGCCTGGTGGTACAGTCCGTGGGGTGGCAGAGAGTTGGACACAACTGAGTGACTGAGTGCACACACCCACAGTGATCCATCCCCAGGGTAGAGATGAGGAAACTGGGAATTAGATGAAGTACTGAACTGATGTGCCTAACTCTAATCACGGTTTGTTTGACTCTGAAGGCCATGTTTTTTATATCGTACTATGATACCTGTCAGTTGTGATCTAGTAATGTTGGTGACAGGTAGGTACAAGCAGTTGTATTAATGAGGTCGCTGTGCTGGGCTTAGTCACTCAGTCGTGTCTGGCTCTTTGCGACCCCATGGACTGTAGCCCACCAGGTTCCTCTGTCCGTGAGGATTCTCCAGGCAAGAATACCAGGGTGGGCTGCCATGCCCTCCTCCCGGGGAGCTTCCCGACCCAGGGAACGAACGAGGTTTCCTGTATTGCAGGCGGATTCTTTACCATCTGAGCCACCAGTGGGGCAAATCTTAGCTATTAAGTGTTTGGCTTTTTTCTGTCCTTTCCCCTGTAAAATACTGACTGTAAACCATAATTATTAAGGTACCAGCCGTTTATTCTTTGCAAAGACATTTCATAAATACGGCTTTTTTGCCATGTGAAAGATTAATAAGGCTTTGAAGAATACGAAGCAGCGAGTCATGTTTTTTGGACATCCCTTCTCTGCTGTATCAGACAGAACATTAAAAAGAAATAACCAAAAAGACTTAACTTGATTCATAAATTTAAAAGAAAAAAGTCTCTGTCGGTCAGAAAATAAAACCACACAAGGAACAGGGAACACAGACAGGCCTGGGGCCAGTCATCTTGTCGGGATATCAGACCTCAGAGTGTTGAGAGCACAGGAAGAGAGGCATGACGCAGCCCTGATGGGGAAAGGCAGGCTGCAGCTGGCTGGCCCTGGCCTAGGACAAAAGCAGGGACTGACCACGTGTCAATCACAGATTTCAAAAAGCAGTGTGCCAACCAGATTATTTTAACCACAAAGCAATACAATTAGATCCCAATAATCAAAAGTTGACTTCAAAAAAAATATGGCTTGCCCCATCAGCTATTAAAACATACAGATTATAATTAGAACTGTGGTACCTAATAGGAAATTAGTTGAATGAAATACTAGTCAGTTATTTTTCAAAGAAAATGGGAGAAAAACCCTAATACTACTTTGGCATAGTCTCAAGGATATTATTATCAAAAACGCAGAGTGAAGTTAAATATTAAGGGTATGCTACCAACATACTACTCACAGTGTACTGTACAGTACCCTCTTGTATCTGTGTTTGCTTGGGTTTTTAAACTGTTGGGGGCAGAGCCGTGGTGGGTGGTAAGTAAAGCAAGTGTATAAAATTCAAAAGCACAGTGTCACAAGTGAACCAGTATTTGAGTTGGTGGCTGAGTCACATAAAGAAGAATTATTTCAGGTAACACTTAAGATGATTTGGCTGGATATACTTAATGAAATATCTTAAGGACAAAAAAAAATGACAAAGAATTCAAACCTTTTAATTATCATTTTGTTCATCATTACTTTAATATTCAGCCATAATGTTTTTTTGAAATAATTGTATATGTTTAAAAGAATAATACATATTAATGTTATTAGTACCAAGTTTTTCAGCATAAGGTAGAAAATAGTTATAAAATCTAAGCAAAACTCCCAAATGATACATATTGAGGTTATTTACAGATGAAAGGCTATATTATTTGCTTGAAAGTAATTGAGGGAAAAGTCAAAACAGATGTAAAACAAAATCAGTTAGGTATTGATCATTGGGAAGCTGGGTGATGACTACATGAGGATTCATAATATATTTTTTTCTGCTTCTCTGGCAGTTATTTTTCAAAATTTTAAATATGTGCTTAAAAGTATAAACTGTACTCCTGAATAACTCATGAGTTAAATGGAAATCAAGATAGAAATTGCAGATATTTGAAATAGAACAATCATGAATTATATGTACAATTTCAAATGTGGGACATGCCAGAAAAGCAGTCCTTAAAGGTAAATTTATTGACTTAAATGTTCAAAGAAAAGATTTAGGCTAAGTGAGTTCAACTGAAGAAGTTAGAAAAAGAGATTTCCCTGGCAGTCCAGTGGTTACGACCCTGTGCTTCCAAAGCAGGAGGCATGGGTTCAGTCTCTGGTCAGGACGTTGAACTAAGATCCCACGTGCCATCTGGCATGGCCAAATTTTTTAAAAAGTTAGAAGAAATACAGGAAAAATAGAGGGGGAAAGTAAGAACAAAAATGTTAGCACCTTATATTAATATCTCAGTAGGTTGAATTTAACTAAGGCTTTCTGAGAGAGGATTGGTCTGTAATTTTCGTTTTTTCTAATATCCTTGGCTTCAAATCAATTTTATATTGCCACATAGAAGAGTTGGTAGTCTGTAGGGAAATTGGTAGGATTTCTATATTGCCATATCTTTTATAAAGTTAAATTTCTGCCTCAGTGAATAGTGAAAGGACTGAGAATCATTTCAGTGTTTATTCTCAGCACAGATTTTATGCCAGGCTGCTGAACTAGGCACTGAGAATATATGCTTGACTGGGGTCTGTCCGCACTCCCGAGGCACTTGTCTAAGAGAAGGTGTGCACGCTCAGTCGCTTCAGTCGTGTCCGACCTGCCAGGCTTCCGTCCATGGGATTCTCCAGACAAGAATACTGGAGTGGGTTGCCGTTCCCTCCTCCAGGGGATCTTCCTGACCCAGCGACTGAACCCATGTCTCTCATGTCTCCTGCATTGGCAGGGGGGTTCTTTACCACTAGTGCCAGCTGGGAAGAGAAGATACAAATTTGTTAATAAAAAATTACAGTCAGGTGAGAAATGTCAGTAGACAAAGTCCCAGGGCAGTGCCCTGAAAGAAGATGATTCTTAGTGTCCATGGCAGACTCTGGGAAAGGCTGGGAGGTTTGTTCAAGTAGCCTCCAAGAGCTGTACCTACGGCACAACGGAGGACGTGTGCAGATCATCACAAGGAGTTTGCTTTGTGGCCGGGGTCAGTAAGTCATGAACACCAACAGTGGATCGTTGCAGATTTTGGCAGCCAGGTTGATGAGAGAGAGCCATCTATGATTTTTCTTTATTTTAATGTCTTCATAAGGTATTAGGGATATGCTGGTCGCAAAAGTGTCGTGAAGTTTCCTTCTTTGCTGTTCTCTGGAAAAGGTTGTAAAAGATTAGTATCATTTCTTCAAGTGTTTGTGAAGTCATTTGGGCCAGAGGTTTTTTTTTTGGTCAGTATGTATTAAACAGTGACCTGAAATTTCACTTTAAAAAGTTGAGTAGATGTCTGAAAAGGTAATATATCATTCTTACTGCCATTTTCATGTTATAAGACTTCCATCTGCTTACTGAGGCTACCACGATCCATAGTTTGATCAATGTATCAGTGGCAGAAATTCACTAGTATAAGAATCCAATCTGTTTCTAATTGTCAAATGGTGTATTACAGGTTCAACTAAAAAAAAAAACTGACTCCCTTGGCTGTATAGGGGTACAGTGGTGTTGGATGAGACCAGTCTGTGCCATCCAGACTCTTACAGGCTTTATTTGGAGCATGCGTCAGATCATCTAATCTACTTGATTTGTTAGCATTATATTTAAAGATTAATAATCTTGAACTTTACTGCTTAGATTGCTTTCTCTTAGTTACTTTGAGGGATTTATTTTTAATTAGATATATATTTTGTAATAAGCAGTGCATTCACATTATTCAAACTTGAAAAGTTACAAAAAATGTCTCTCTTGAACACCAGTTCTTTAGTCACCCATTTCCCCAGCTACAGAGCCAACAGGTGTTAATTGCTTCTTAGCTGTCCTTCAATTCAGATTCTCTGGATATGCATGTAGTATATCAATATAGGCCTCCTCTCCCTTTTCAAAAAAGCACTTTTCTGTTCTGTAGTATGCTTTTAACTTGGTGTGTCTGGACTGTTCCATGGCCTTGCCTATTAGAGTTGCTGCTTGTTTCTTTGTCTTCTGGCTGCCTAACATATTACACTGATGACAAGCATGTCTAATAATAATAAACTAATGTACCCTTTGTACTATTGGTGGGTTTTTAGGTTACTTCTGGTCTTACTACAGAAAAGGCTATGTTGACCATCCCCATCGTGCTTGTGAATAACTGAATATCGTTTTTCTTTGCTAGTTTTTTAGACCAGATCTTCTGTTTCCTTTCAGCCATGAACCAGAGAATCAGTCAAAGTGCTCCAGTGAAACAGCCACCCCCGCTGGCCCCCCAGAGCCCGCAGGGAGGCGTCCTGGGTGGCGGCAGTTCCAACCAGCAGCAGCAGATGCGGCTGCAGCAGCTGCAGATGGAGAAGGAGAGGCTGCGACTGAAGCAGCAAGAACTGCTTCGGCAGGTGAGGCCCCAGGTTAGAGACCAGCCTTCCACTCTCGGGGCTTTGTTTTCCTACCTGAAGCTGGGTGTGTTTCGTTTTGGCATTTGTTGGTTGCAGAGGAGCGTTGTTTCTCTCAAACTAGAGTGACACAGAAACATTCTGTCCAGCTCTGTCCTCGTCTTAGCCTTTTTGCTGGCCTCTGAGCACGTGGGCTGTGACTTGTATACCTGTATCACACAGAGGCGTTTGGGCCATGTTCACGGCAGTCAGGCAGAAGTCAAGGGAAGCAAGGGTGCTTTTCCTCAAATATACAGGCATACCTCAGAGATATTGCCCATCAGTTCCAGACCACCACAGTGAAGCGAGTGTTACAGTAAAGTGAATCACACGAAGTTCTTGTTTGCTGGTGCATATAGAAGTTAATGTTTATACCATACTATATAGTCTATTAAGTGTATAATAGCATTATGTCTTAAACAGTGTACATTTTTTTAAAGTACTTAATTTTTAAATACTTAACTGCTGAAAAAATGCTAGCCATCACCTGAGCTTTCAGTGAGTCATCTTTTTGCAATAGTAACATCACAGATTACTATTATAAATAAAATAATAATGAAAAAGGCCAAAGTATTGTGAGAATTGCCAAAATGTGACACCGAGGCGTGAAGTGAGCAATTGCTTTTAGAAAAATGGCTCTGATAGATTTGCTAGTCGCAGGGTTGCCATAAACCTTCAGTGTGTTTTAAAAAAAATTGCAGTGTCTGTGAAGTGCAATGAAGCGAGGTATGTCTGTACAGGGAACTGCAGACCATTTAATATCTGAAGGTTTTACTAAGGGAGGAACTGGAACATCACCTGGGGAGAAACATCTTTTACTTTAAACAAATTATTTGTCTGGGAGAATACACCAGTATGATACCTCTCACAGGAGAGATAGTTTTCACTATTGCTGATCTAAGATGTGTTTTATTTAAAATGTAACATAGGCTATCCCAAGTTTAGAAGATCCCCAAGTCTCTTAAAATTACCTGCTTGTGGTTGTTTTTTCACGTTGGGAAGGGTAGGTTCTAACATTAGAGAGCTGGAAACCTTTAGGGCCATTTCTATAGATTTTCTTTCAGAAATACTGTTGGCTTTTTTATGCCATAAAAATATAATCCCTCATCTCAAATTTCAGAATGATAAAATCTAAAGTTCAGATGTTGGGGGTATGATCTTAGTATATTTTAAAATTTTTATATAAATATTTTGGGTAATAAAAACACAATGTGAATTTGAAAGTGTACAAAAGGTGTAAATGAAAATAAAATCTCCCTTTCCATTTCTCTAGTTCTCTTTTCTGGAAGTAAATAGCTAACAATTTCTTACACTTCCCCCCACCCCCACCCCAGACCTTTTCTTTATTTACAAACATGAAATACATGTGTCTATACTATTCCCCCCGCCCCAAATCATAGCATACTAAGATAAGGCATTAAAAATATCATTATATAGTACATTTTTGTTGCCAGGATGTAGACATTTGAACAAGGTACTGTTTTCTTCATGAAGGTTATATTTTAATAGTGTCACTTGAGTGTTAATGGAAATAGATGAACTTGATGTAGTGATTGAACTCTGATTTGGGACTTGAAGAACTGGTACCTAAGAGTTAAACTGAGCCACAAGCATCCCAGACCGCCACACCTGCACACTGCGCTGTCAGTAGCCGGCCAGTGTCACGTGGTGTGGCTGGCCCCAGGAGTGAGTGAGGGAGATGATGCCCGTATACGGTGTCATGAAGTGGTCTTGAAAGAAGTATTTCCTCATCTGCCTTTAAGAAAGTAGAAAAAGGAAGCACATTAACAAGTTTACTATACCTCTGACAGACTTTTAACATATTACTATAAAGAAAAGACATTTTTCATTTAAATAAAACTTTATCACCAGAGCAAGGTAGCATCATCAAGAATATAATTATATAGCTATTAGAAGAAATAAAGTAATTTCAGGGTACGTTTTACACAGCCTATTTTCATTGCTTGCTTTTCATTTTGTCGTTACTGAGTACTAGATGGTGTAAGTAAATATTATTTCACATATGAATTGAAGACCATCAAAACCAAGAAACCTTATTAATAAGAAAGATTAAAATCCGTCATTTCGTTGCTGTAGATCACCTGTCTCCCATCCCCTTCCCAGCCGGTGGGCAGAATGCTGCTGCTTATGAAATTCTTTATTCTAAAGAATTTTCCTAAGCCTTATTCCCACTCTTACTCTGGGTGACGGTCCCGGACAGAATAGCTTCCTTTAAAGGTGACTTCTTTGTCTCTTTACTGCCTACTGTGTTGTCTATTCTTCTGTTGAAGTGACCGACCTGCTCTAATCTTATACTAATGGTGTATTGTTTAAGGTGTTTGTTTTTTAGCAATCAGTATAAATTCAGTTTAAGTCTTTTGGCTTCCTGTAAACTTCTTCCACTGACAGTTTCTCTTATCACTGAAACATCAAATTATATTTTCCCTGCTTCATCTAATACTCAGAAGTAAAGAACCTACCCGACCAGTATCAGATTGTGTTTGAGTCCCGACACCTGTCCTGCCCTCAACGCTGTGAACACTGCTGAGGCTTCCGTGTGTCCGTGGTGACTCCCATGGTCTCCTGTCTCCCTCAGTCTGCTTCTTTTGAGCTAGCTTGGGAATTCTGTGCTATGGTGATATGTCTGGATGGAATTTGTAAGTCAGCCTACACAGCCAACCCATGTGGCTTAAAGTAATTTTTATCCATCTTATTTTTCACTCTTAGGCAATGCGGAATATCAATCCCAGCACAGCCAATTCTCCAAAATGTCAGGTAGGCTCTTGTCTGATGTTTTAGCGTTGAAAACAGATATTCTGTTAGGAAAGAGAAAAACTTGTGCTCCGGGGGCCTGTCCTCACTGAAGAATAACTTCAAGGCCTCTTCCTACCAAGCTACTTAAGTTAACATTGCTACTCCCAGAAAGTTGACACTATCTGCTCCTCCCACAATAGTAGTAGCCCTTTTGACTCCTTAGAGGTCTCTCCCCTCAGCCCCCACATTTGATACGTAGTGTGTGCATCCTGTCAGCCTTGAAGTGTGTCTGATTTTTATTTGTGTAGCCTGAAGTAGTGCTTACAGTGACTTACAGGAATTAAAAATTTGAACAGTAACAAAGGTGGCAACAGCTTATTTACTTAGGTAGGCTACTTTAGGAAATCCAGTAGAGTGTAATGATACTGCTAGGAAGGGAGACTTTTTTCTCGTGGACATTCCAAAGAAAGAATGTCAAAATCACTGGAGAGAGAAATGAGCAGTGCTCTGCCTGAGTACTCTTTGGGTCTCTTTGTTGGCTTCTATCAGCATTTCTCCCTGGTGAACCCAAAGAAGCATTGCTTGTGAAGGTATCTTATTCAGATGCAGCGGGTGTGGCCACTTTTTCCTTCTATAACATAGGCACTTGTCTGACTCATGAAGAGAATCTCATTCTTAAAACCAAAGAGATCTCTGTGTTTAGGGTTCACCGATTATGGAGGAACTAGAAGCTGAGGGATTATTGCACTTTTTTCAGGTGGGCAGAAGTGACCATCAGACGCCTCATTTTATTCTCTCTAGCTCTTCTGCACTAGGCTGACAGGTGCATTGTGTTGGAATGAACTGTGGAAGTGGGAATTGTCAGAACTCCACTCATGTTAGATTCTGTTAACTTGTCTGTCTAGATACTATACTAGATAGAATCCTCACAGAGACCAGTTAACTTGGTGAGAGGAAAATCTCTATTCTTTATCTCTCTCATAAATGCTTTCTTTAATCAAGAAATCAAGTAAGGGAATAATTCATGAACATCGTCTTTGCTAAAGCAGTGCAGACATTCTTACAATGAGGGCTGCTAATTTCACATTTGACTGGGAAGAGCACTGTAGCATTGGATCTTTAAATAAAGTGGAAACATAGGAGCAGAAATTAATTCAAATGAGATTTGGGATCAAGCAAAAAGTTCTCCGTGTTAAAGTGTTTTGAAATTGTCTCCTGTTTATTTTTTCCTATTAAGATCCTAAACTTTAAATCTGATAAATAAATGAACTACCTTCAGGTCTTTATTTCATACATCAGTATAAGTGTAAATAGTTGCTCTCATTAAAATTATCAGGAGTTTTTAGATACTTCTTGTAGTAGTAAAGCTTTATAAAAGTTAAGGCTTATAAATTAAAATTCTATTATCAATAAATTTGTATGGTATTAAGATTACAGTGTTGATCCCTTAGATTTGTCTAAGCCAGAGCTGGAAACCTGAAAGAGATAGATTTTATAAAAAATTTTAATTTTTAAATTAGCTTCGTGTATGTGGAGAATAAAATATTATTAGCTTGTTATATACGTTTCAGTTGTCAGTGTATTTACCTGGCACAATTGGGAAAATGTATGAAATTCCAATATAGGGCTAAATTTGGAATTGCTCAAATACATAGAAACTGGTGGTATTTGTATCAAGCAAGTATTTGTGTTTTTCTCATCCTACTTATTTTCTAGATTATCTTAATGTAGATGTCAGGAAAATTTTCACAAAGAACATTCTTAAGTGAAGATGCCTTTAAATAAGGTTACCAAGATAATCAAGAAAGCAAGAAGAAACTTTCCAGTCTCAAAGAACAGACTGTACAAAGGAATAATGAAGAAAAAGCGATGGATCCATTCAATACTTGAATGCCAGACACTTTTGTTCAAAGTTGTCAGATATCTTTGTTTTTATTTGTTTTTACTTTTCTAATAGAAATTCGTACAGATGAGTTAACAAGCAAAATGAAATCAGTGACATTATTTTATAATTATATAACTCATTTGCTATGGACTGTGGGAAAGTATCAGACTTCAAAATGTTTACAGATTACTAAGTACTTCTGCGTAGGATTAACAAAACATGTCTGTACTGTAGAATTCTCTGGTCATGTAAGCTAGTGTCAGTATGGGTGAGGGTAATGCAAAATTCTGAAAAATTAAGACAACTTTAAAGGCATTAGTATGTCTTCTTAGTTAAAAATGGAAATCATTCCCTTTGTTAGGGTTTGTTGGCAGAATTTTGGAAAAACTTGTCCTTATAAAGCTTTAAATTGTTTAATTTCATTCAGATTAGCTTAGCTATTTTTATGTTTCTAAAGCACTTTCTAGTCTCAGGAAAAAAACAAAGAAGACTTTGAAACTGTAAGCATTGTCTTTGCTCTGTGAGATTGAGCATGCATGTGATGTTCAACTTGGAGAAAAGATGGTTCCCCCGCCTGAGTGTGAATGTTTTTACCTGTCTTACACTTAAGAATGTGGTTCTTACTGCCTGTGGTTCCCTTAGTACCTGTGAGGTCAGGCCTAAACTCTGCAGCCTGGCTCGTTTATGGTCTGTGGTCAGTAGTCTTCTTTCTTTCTCTCAATTCTGGTTAAGCCAGTTACCTTCCTTCAGCCAAGTGCACACCCCTGTCTTGTTGCCATGATCCCACTCATGAGGAATCCTTTTCCTCGTTAGGAGTACCTGTCTTTTCCTCTTCCCTTTTACTAATTAAGATTCTCCATTTCTTTCATCAGGCCTAGGTCAAAACACATCCCCAAGAGCCCTCATCAGAACTCTTGAAAAACCCAGAAAATAGAAACAAGACTGCTGTGCATAGATATCTTAACTTTATTTTTGAGCAAGTAATTGCTTTACTCTTAATAGAAATTATAGCTTCATAGAAATTATTTATATTGCAAAAAATATTTTGCAACTAGTGAATATTGTGTAGTTGCCATTCCATGTATATAGTAATACATACCAGGGTCAGTTACTGGTTTTGAGGGATTGAAAAATTAATTTAAAAATAATTTAAATAAATAAAATTTAATATTGTAGTATTAATATTGAACATATTGTACTACACTCTTAGCCCAAAATGGTGAAGAAATTCAGATGTCCATAGTTTTAGTCAAATAGAGCAAAATGATACCTCTTTACAGAGCCATGTGAAAATAATCACCACAACTTTTTTTTCTGAATTTAATAATAGCAAATCTTTGGCTTTCTTTCCCTCCAGACTCTCTTTTATGTTAGCAGATACTAGACAAGCTAAGATTATCTCTCCTTTTTGAATTCCTAATATTGAGTAAATCATAGATTCATTTTGGTATTTTCCCATGAATATTTTATTTTTAATGGGCATATTGAAAACTGTATAAGAAGGGATGAGATTCAACCTCATGCCCTGCGTACTCTTAATAGAGTATCTCGTTTGTTTTATTCATTAAGGTCATGGTAATTTGAACAATGTTATAATAACTTTATTACTTTGAGACCACAATTAAGTAGCATAAATTACAAAAGAGATCTGTCAGAGTGTTGAATCTCGGGATCATGCAATGGGAACATAAAACTGCAAATCTATTTTGATTATCACTTTTAATTTTAAGATTATCATACAGTAGTCATAACTATTCCCAAGTCCCATACACATTTTTTAGTCAAAAGGGTTGTTCTGAAGTTGAAGGTAACTTCAGTAAATGCCACAAATATTTTTTTAAAAATCCAAAAAGCATTCTCAACATTGGTTAAATGTTTTAATAACTTTTGACATAATTAAATATTTTATGGTGGTTTAAAACTGTGTTGTAAAATGGGGTATGACAAGAACCTATCTTGAATGGTTGGAGGAAATGGCTTTTTTTCCTTCTGTTGACATAGACTGCTATTACTAAGACAAACTGTTTAAAAGATGTGTATTTTTAGAGTTTTTCTCCATTTCTAAATTTGGGTTTCTAGTTCACTAAACTAACCTACTTTAAATAAATTGATTGGGTTCAAGAAGGGGAAACTCATTTGTGTGCCATGTATTATCCAGAATGAGACATAAATTGTATTGGCTGAAGAAAAAAATTGCTTTAAGAAAGTAAAGTTGACATTAATTTTATAGGATTTTCTATGAATGGGATCATAACTTTTTCACCTTAGCATGATTATTTTGAGATTCACTCATATTATATCTATAGTTCATTTCCTTTTATTGCTACCTAGTATTCCATTGTATGGATATGCTACAGTTGTTTATCTGTTCACCTATTGATAGATATTTGACTGGTTTCTAAATTTTGATTTTGTATAGGCATATGCCTCCATTTTGGTAGGGTACTCTTAAGAATTTAATAATCTAGCAGTGTTCAAAGTGTTTCCGGACTACTGACTTCTTCTACTGCCTTTCTCCTTATTTTTCTAAATAGTGTGAACCAAAGCATCAATTTTTTATGGGGCCAAAATACTTAATATCTTAAAGTATCTTTTTTATCCTATGAGAAATGGTACTGCCACTTAGATAAGAGAAGGGAAATTTAAAAAGGACCAATGGCTCATGTCTAGATTTTGAGTCCATAAAAGTCCACTATATGAACCAGGCAAATCCCGTTTTCCTTTATAAACCATCCTGCAAACTTCCCTCCAGACCAAACTGGGTCCATGAGTTTTACTTACAGGGCGGATAGCCCTGGCTCCACACGCATACCAGATTAGCTAAGATTTACAGGCTCAGTGGGAAAAGTCACCACATTTTTGTATTATTACAGAAGAAAATGAGCTAAAAATACTTGCTTCCTTTAGAAAAAGTCAAATACTCTAAAAGAATTGTTTGACCTTTGAAATACAGAAGCATGATAAATTTTGGCTGAATTTCCTATAACTTGCTTAGTTCTCCATTTTTGAAAGTCTGTCATACTATTTATTCTGACTACCTTTGGGAAAAGAGACAAACTTGTATTTTTAGCTCAGGATTCTAATTTTAGACATTTGTTTGGGATAAAAAGCTTCTTTAGAGATAGACATAACTTTC